TTCCTTCCTTCCTTCCTTCCTTCCTTCCTTCCTTCCTTCCTTCCTTCTTTCTTTCTTTCTTTCTTTCTTTCTTTCTTTCTTTCTTTCTTTCTTTCTTTCTTTCTTTCTTTTTCTTTTTTTCTTTCTTTCTTTCTTTCTTTCTTCCTTCCTTCCTTCCTTCCTTCCTTCCTTCCTTCCTTCCTTCCTTCCTTCCTTCTTTCTTTTTTTAAGGCTTATTTATTTATTTGACAGAGAGAGACACAGCGAGAGAGGGAACACAAGCAGGGGGAGCGGGAGAGGGAGAAGCAGGCTTCCCACAGAGCAGGGAGCCCGATGCAGGCTCGATCCCAGGACCTTGGGATCATGATCTGAGCCAAAGGCAGACGCCCAGTGACTGAGCCACCCAGGCGCCCCCCTCTGTTATTTCTTAACTGACCCCCTACCGAGCAGCATCCTCACCCCTCCCTGGCACCCAGTCCTCCATCTTGTATAATCACGGAGCCAGGTCCAGAACACTCACATCTGCATCTGGAAGCCTACAACCCGTATTAGCCCCCATTTCCCTGGGTCTCCCACCCACACTGTCCAGGTAGGAATGTATCTGACTGGGCATTTTGCTAGGGAATTGGCCAAGGCCTTTATATCTAATTTGCAAACTGTGCGGAATTCTCCCATCCCTGCTCCAGGCATTTCCTCTAAACCATTTTACTGACGAAGACATTGGGGCCCAGGCCTCCTACTTACCACTGCCACAGTGGCATGAGGACCTATTGAGATCTGCATGACTGTCCCTTTCCCCCCAACCACCATAGGCATAAAGAGAGCCAGGCCTAGAGACAGGTTTGTCTTAACTGGCCAAGAGAAGAAGCTCTCAGGAAGACATTTGTTTTTCTCTTTTTTTCTCAAAGGTCTCATCTTTGAGAATATTTTGCTAGGATTCCGGGAAGAGAAAAGTTTGGGAGGGAAAAGTATCTGAGAAGTGGTGTGGCTTCTCCTAACCAGAAGGAAGAAAAGGCCTGTTAGTCCCCATATTCTTTTGAGACTATGATCAGCTCCCTGTCAACACCCTTCCTAAACCCAAGAGGAGGCTGCTGAGTGCACTTAGGGAGGCTGGACCCCAGACACAGGGCCCCTAGTCTTGTCTGAAATTCCCACGTCCCAAGTGTGTCCTGTGGCATGAGAACCATGGACCTGAAAGAGCCCGGTGGACTGGGAGAGGGCTTCTGTGACAGACACAGTTGGTTTCCTACCTGTCAGCCACACTCCCTTCTTCCTTAAAGGACCCATGCTTCGTTCAGGCTGCAACTTGCACAGGAAAGTGGGCCTCTCCTTCAGCCCCAGCTGGTGACCCATGATTGTTCTACACTATGTGAGCTAATGTTCTCTTTGCTGCTTACTAGTTTAGGACCCAGTTCTGACCAAGAGGACGTAGGGGAAGTCTGGGAGGGAGATCCAGGTGGTCTGTCCCTGCTCTCTGCCCTGAAGATGGTTTTGTGAACTCTGGAGCTCTGGCAGCCATTCTGTGACCATGAGGAAACAAGCCTAAGAATAAAAAGTCCACACACTGAGGATGATAAAATATAGGGATGACAAGATCTCTATATCTTGGAGACATCAGGGAACTGGAAACCACTCCAGGGACTGGCTGCCTCCAGGCTTTTTATTCCAAGAAATAGCTGAAGGCACTATCACTCAGAGATTCTCCTATATGTAGGCCACACATTTTAAACTAATGCAGCATCTCAGTGGTTTTAGGTAAAGACAGATTATCAGAGGCATTTTCCTTGTGTTGTGGGGTCCATAAGATCCCAGAACTTCTGTGTAGTTCTAAGGAGAAGCCCAATAAAGACTGCAGTTGGATTTCCCCCAGCCCAATAGAATAGAATAGAAGCTCCAGCTTCATCCAGCCTCTCCTTCTTATTCTCCGTCAGAAGAGTGGCACCTCTTTCCAGCACTGTCCTTTCCCTGTGTGTGACATGAGTTAAGTGCTGGGCCCTGGAGGCACACTGCCTACTGCTCTGCCACGAACCAGCCATGTGACTTTGAGCCTCAGTTTCCTCACCTGTAAAACGAAGTTAATATAAGCAAAGCATTCGGAGCAGTGCCGACGCTTCCGAGGCACTCACTAAGCATTAACTATTAGTTTTAGTATTTTTTCTGCCACATCCTCCCTTCTCCTTGCTGACCCCAACTTCCTGACATCTTCCCTTCCTCCTTAATAGCACTTTTCCTGGCTCACCTGCTCTCCTTCACATTAAATCCTCCTTCAGTATGTCCTCAAGAGACCAGGTCCCAGTGGCTCCTGGCTTATATTATGACTCTGGGGTGTGAAAGACAGCAGAGTGTGGAGTGAGAACAGGGGCTCTGCATACAAAAAGCCGCAGGGTTAAAAGAAAGAGAGCCGCATTTAAGGAATTGGCTCACTTGGTGGGGAGGGGGTGGTGTTGGCAAGTTTGAAATCCGTAGGGCAGGCTGGCAAGCTGGAAATTCAGGCAGGATTTCTAGATCAATCTTGAGGCAGAATTCCTTTTTCTCTGGGAAACCTCAGTCTTTGCTCTGAAGACCATCAACTGATTGGATAAGGCCCACCCACATTATGGAGGGTAATCTGCTTCACTTAAAGCCAACTGATTGTGAATGTTAATCACATCTAAAAATTCTTTGAGGCTGCCTGGGTGGCTCGGCTGGTTAAGCATCTGCCTTCAGCACAGGTCATAATCTCAGGGTCCTGGGATCGAGCCCTGCACCGGGCTCCCTGCTTGGCAGGGAATCCGCTTCTCCCTCTCCCTCTCCCTCTGTGCTCTCCCTCTCTTTCTCTGTCCCACTCAAATAAATAAATAAAATCTTAAAAAAATAAAAATTCTTCGAAGCCGGGGCACCTGGCTGACTCAGTCAGAAGAGCATGAGACTCTCGATCTCGGCGCCGTGAGTTTGAGCCCCACGTTGGGTGTAGAGATTACTTAAAAAACAAACAAACAAACAAATAAATAAGTAAAAATTGAATTAAAAAAGTACAAATTCTTCATAGCATCATCTAGACTAGTGGTTAACTAAACAACTGAGCACATAGCCTGGCCAAGTTCACACATAAAATTAACCATCATACCAGGTATCAGGGGCAGAATATTTTACTCCTCTGAGCCTCTTTTTCCTTTGTCTAAAGTGGAATAAGAGAAGAGCCTCACGTGTAGAACTGGTGAGGGGTAAGTGCATACGGGGTGCACTGTAAATGTTCATCTTTTCCCTACTGTTGTCAGGGCTGTACCAGGAAGTGCTCAAAATCACATGATGCTGATGAGGATACAGGAACTACAAGCGATGGTAGGGATGTTGGTAGGTAGGTTGTGCAGGTATCCCACAAAACCACGTAGGTGCCCTGTGCCCGTCTGACTCCTCACCCAACAGACGGGTCCAGAACCTTTAGTGCCCGTGAGCACTCCCCAAGAAATGGATCTTCAGGAATTCTTCACTCTCTTCTTTACGTGGAAAGGAGGAAAGTTTTCCCATTGGTTTTCTTCATCTTTGAGACAGTGGAGGGCTTGGAGCAATACGTCAGAAAGCATTAAATTTCTCTTCTTCAGCAACCGTTTCACATTTGGTAAGAACTGCATATTCATGAGGCTACACAGCCCAGTAGGAACCAGATGACAACTCAGTTTTCTTGGAAATCAGGAAATCAATCAAGCTGCCAAACTGAGACGTCTGCATTGTGAAACCCTGTTAACATTCCAGAAACTTGTTTTAAGTGAGAGTTTACTTTTTTATTTTTTTTAAAAGATTTTATTTATTTATTTGACAGAGAGAGAGAGATAGCGAGAGCAGGAACACAAGCAGGGGGAGCGGGAGAGGGAGAAGCAGGCTTCCTGCGGAGCAGGGAGCCCGATGCGGGGCTCGATCCCAGGACCCTGGGATCATGACCTGAGCCAAAGGCAGTCGCTTAATGACTGAGCCACCCAGGTGCCCCTTCAAGTGAGAGTTATTTTTAAAAAGGAAATTCTTTCTCTCTGTCTCTCTGTCTCTCTCCCTCTCTCCCTTTTCTTGATTTTTCTCCCCCTTCCTCCCTCCCTCCTTTCCTTCCTGCATTTTTTAAGCTAGTGCAGCCCACTGTCCCACTACTTCTAGTATGTTCAGGCTAGGCATGAGTTTTTAAAAGTAGGTGGAATGAGATCTGGGTCTCTCTGCCTCTCTCTGACACCTTTCCCTTGTTCCCACTAAATGGGATCCTCCTCTGCTTGTCCAGGAATTCCCATGCCTTTGTCCATGCTTGTCCCCCATTGTTTCCTGTGCTTTTTGACAGTGAAAACATGACTTCAGCCACCTCCTTCAGATTCAGGAATAAAAAGTTTCCAAAATACATTCTCTGTATCCAGTATCAAGCTGTAGCTGGAAGAAAAAAAAATACACATATATGTGTGTGTGTGTGTGTGTGTGTGTGTGTGTGTATGTTGTATCTCTCTATACATGTATTTTACCTGAAAAAATAGGTATATACATAATTATAAAATAAACTTTCAATTACAGAATAGTTTAAGATTTCCAGAAAAGCTGCAAAGAGAATACAGAGAATCCCCATATACCCGGAACCCGCTTCTCCTGCTATTATCTTACATTAGTATGGTACATTTGTTACAACTCATCAACTGATATTGATATATTCTTTTAAAGATTTTTACTCTTTAAGTAACTTCTACACCCAACATGGGGTTTGAACTTACAACCCCTAGATCAAGAGTCTCATGGTCTTCCAACTGAGCCAGCCAGGCGCCCCTAATATTGATATATTATTCTTAACTGAAGTCTTTACTTTATTCAGGTTTCCTTAGTTTTTTACCTAATGTTCTTTGCTGTTCCGGGACCCCATCCAGGATGTCCACATGTCTCCTGAGGCTCCTCTTGGCTGCAACAGTTTCTCAAAATTTTCTTGTTTTCAGTGACCTGGAAGAATACTGGGGGTTTGTAAAATGTCTCTCAATTGGGGTTTGCCTGACGTTCTTCTAACGGCATAACGTGTCTTGAGGATGAAGGCCACAGGGGTAAAATGTCGTTCTTATTACATTATATCAACATACATACTATCAATATGATTTATCACTGTTGATGTCAACCTTGATTATCTAGCTGAGGTTGAGTTTGCCAGATTTCTCCACTGTAAAACTACATTTACTCCCTTTTCCTATTCCTTTTGGAAGCAAGTCACTAAGTACAGCCCACACTGAAGGAGGGGAAGTTATGCTCCACTTCCTCGAGGAGAGAATATCTAAAAAAATGATTTGGAGTTCTTCTGTATGAGAGATGTATTCAGCCATTTATCTGCATCAGCATGGACTCGATCTATTTTTATACTTCACATAATAAATAAAATAATAAAATGAAAATAATAATAAATAATAAAAGCTTTACTTTTGACTTGATCTGTAGGTTTTTTCCTTTCGTGTGGATGGAGCCCATATCCTTGAAAGGATCTGGAGATACTGTCCACAGCCGGGAGGACAGACCGCTCATCAATCACGCAAACACAGGGTACCAGGGGGCGTGGGAAACATTTTTTACTTCTTCCCTTTGGAGGCTGGTCACCCACAAATTCCACCCTGGATGGACATCCTGAAGGCTCTTCCTCTCTTGTCCATCTTCGCCCTCATGGTTCCTCTTAATCTTTTCCACCCCTATATCCACCCACGCCTGGTAGGGATTTGGGGGGGAACTTCATTCTAATTTGCATGACAAAATAGCGCTCAATACAATAAAATAACATTCATACGTATCATAGCTCTCCTCCTATTGCAGGTTTTCTAGGTGCACCGTTTGGGGTACTATAAATACATTATTCCTAATCTTGACGCTAACGACAAGGTGATTATTATTCCCATTTTACAGATGTGGAAACTGGTGTCTGAGAGTTGAAAAAATCTCCCAAGGTTTTCCTCTACCTGCAAACTGCACTCGTCCTCAGCAGTTTCCTTCACTAGTTCCTCTCTTCTCATCTCTTCCTAAAGTTCCTCTTTTCACTCACTTTCCTTGTGACCATGGGCAAACCACTTGCTGTGGGCCTCAGTTGTCTGTCTTGCAATCCTGTTGGATGAATTCAGTGAGATGCATGGAACGCCTCCCCACCGGCTTCAGTAAGGGGCATCTGTAATTACTGTTCATTTCAAGAGGATTACATTAACTTAATAAAAAACCTCTCTCTTTCTATTCTTGGATCCTTTTCTTTCTTTTTAAGATTTTATTATTATTATTTATTTAACAGAGAGAGAGAGAGCACAAGCAGGGGAAGTGGCAGGCAGAGGGAGAGAGAGAAGCAGGCTCCTCATTGAGCAGAGAGCCTGACGTGGGGCTCGATCCCAGGACCCCGGGATCATGACCTGAGCCGAAGGCAGATGCTTAGCCAACTGAGCCACCCAGGTGCTCCTTCTTGGATCCTTTTCTGTTTATGCTTACCTGTTAGTTGGTCTCTTCTCTTCTCATGGCTTTAACTACCATCAATATGTCAATGAATACCACATGGCTATTGCTACATTTGACCTTTAGTCTGAATTTCAGACAAGTCAACATCTTCACTTGAATGTTTTAAAACAAAAGTTGGAGTTTCTGTTTTTTTTTCCCAGTAATAATTAACCTGTATTGTATTTAAAAATGATGGCCTCTGGACAAAATTTTTAAAAACACACAATTTGGGGCGCCTGGGTGGCTCAGTCGGTTAAGTGGTTGCCTTGGGCTCAGGTCATGATCCTGGGGTCCTGGGATGGAGCCCCGCATCAGGCTCCCTGCTCCGTGGGGAGTCTGCTTCTCTCTCTCTCTCCCTCTGCCCCCTTGTCCCTGCTCATGGGTGCTCGGTCTCTCTGTTAAATAAATAAATAAAATCTTAACACACACACACACACACACACACACACACACAATTAGAAGAGACTAGAGAGAACAAAAGCAGGCAGCAAGTGTTGGAGAGTCAACCATTGGCAGAAGGGAGGAGCAGTGGGTAAGATTTGTGATTATAAACATTTTTGCCTAAAGGCACTATGCAGAATATGTAGCATGTGATGGCCGGAGTTCAAGTATAAATCTGCTAGTCTTACTGGTTTGACAAGTCAGAGAATGGGAAGGAAGAGAAATCCAAGAAAGGAAGGGTTCACAGAGGCTTACTATTTATTTATTTGCTTATTTATTTATTTTAAGTAAGCTGCAGGTCCAATGTGGGGCTTGAACTCACAACCCGGGGATCAAGAGTCACACGTTCTACAGACTGAGCCAGCCAGGTGCCTCTCAGAGAGGCTTTTTCAAGGTTCATATAAACTTTGGCTAAATCCTTGGCTGATTCCTGACCTGTGCATGGGCAGGGAGAAACCAGCAGAAAACCCAGCAGAAAACAATTAGGAAAAAAAAAACAACTGAAGGCTGACAGAACAAGGCAAAAATTTTGGTGCTGCCCATCTCAGAGAACACAGCATTTGGAATTTTATGCCTGCCAAGTTAACTACTAAAAATAAACACTCTTTAGAGGAAGATATCAGAATCTTGATTTTCTACAATGTCTCCTCTACAAAGCCCAGTATTAAAAGATTTTTTAAAAATCCACTAAACTTGCAAACAAGCAGGGAAATGTGACCCATAGTCAGAAGAAGGGTGGTCCGTAGAAACCAATTCTGGAATAACTCAAATTATTTAATTAATAGGTGAAGACTTCGAAGTGGCTTAAAAAAATACAATCATAATGAATGAACAGATGGGCAAATTCAACAGAGAATGAGAAACTAAAAAGAACCAAATGGCAATTCTAGAATTAAAAAGCATAATATCTGAAGTGGAAAATTTACTAGATAGGCTTAATAGAGTATTCAAGATGAAAGAAGAAAGAATGAACTTGAATTTTTAAAAAAATTCTACCAACTGAGCAATGGCTTCCAGTTGTCTTGTGACTGGCAATTGTCCTCAGACAACTAAGAAGCAAAAGCAAAACTCAAACTGCTTTTACCCCACTTGTCCTACCATGACTTCTGTTTCCCCTTGCCTCCTCTCCTTGCGTGTCAATTCCAAGAGCCTAATACAAGCCAAGTGGAAGCAGAGATAGTGCACAACCTTGCCTTGTTTTCAAGGAAGCCCTTACTGATTTTTGGTACATACACTTTACCAGGTTAAGGGAGTTGGCTTTTCCTAACTTACCAGTTTAAAGAAGAAAAAAAAAGAGTGTTCATTTGTATTGATTTTTGCTTTTTCTGTAAAAATTATCGTGTTTTTTTCCCTTTACATTTGTTAATATGCTATGTATATTAACAGATTTTCCAAGGTTAGATTCCCATGGTAAATCCTTCCTGGTCATAACACACACACACACACACACACACAGGTACTATGTTCATCAGTGAGATTGGTGTGCCATTTTCCTCTCTCCCACTAGCTTCATTTGATTCATGATAAGTTTATTTTAATCTATAAAATGACTTCGGGAGTTCCCTTTCTCTCTCTCTCTCGCTTTCTCTCCCTCTTCCCTGGAAGAGTTTCTGTATTTGTATTAGAATAAAATGATATGTTCTTTAAATGTTTGAAAGAAATGATCCATTAACCCATTTGTGGTTACTGGATATGCGTGTACAGATATTTAATAACTGATTTGATTTTCTTGGTTGTAGGTCTATTCAAATATTCTGTTTCGTGTTGTGTCAAAGCATGAGGATGCTTTTGGCAAGAATCGACCAAAAATGTAACAGTGGCCTAAGTAACAAGCCCTCTCATCCTCCTGCCTCACACAGTCAGAGTGAAGAGGTTTTTCAAGGCTGGAGTAGATACTCAAGGACACAGGCTCCTTCAACGTCCTCACTCCCTTATCTTCCGCTGCTGGCTTGTCGCTTCGTGTTCTCAAGTTGACTACAGCACATCTAGGCACCGTGTAGATCCAAACAGGGACAAGCTGGGAAACTGTCTTTTCATTTGGGATAGCAGTCAGCATTGGGACGGATCTTTTCTGAAATAAAGGAATTTTTACCTGCTACTTAATTAGATTGGAGCTCTGTGCACACGCACGTGTATGTGTGTAAATATGGTTTTTGAAGAGATAACAAACAGATAGTGTTTGTCAATTAGGTTTGGTAAGTTGCAATTCTGTAGGAAATTATACTATGTATTTTAAAAGAAGTTATATATATTATATATGTAATCTAAGATTTTAATATATCAGTATGAAGATTGTCATAGTATTCTCTAAGGATTTTAGGATTTGTGTTGTTTCTCTTTTCTTTCTTTTTTTTTTTTTTAAAGATTTTTTATTTATTTATTTAATTGTCAGAGAGAGGGAGAGACAGCGAGAGAGGGAACACAAGCAGGGGGAGTGGGAGAGGGAGAAGCAGGCTTCCCGCCGAGCAGGGAGCCCGATGCGGGGCTCGATCCCAGGACCCTGGGATCATGACCTGAGCCGAAGGCCGTCGCTTAACCAACTGAGCCACCCAGGCGCCCCTCTCTTTTCTTGCTTAATACTGCTCTTGGCATTCTCTGTCTGTCTTTCTCTCAGTTTTGCCAGAGCTTTTTCACTTTATTAGTCTTTCTTTTTATAAAATCAACTTTTGGCTTTTTTGACCTACTGTATATTTATTTTGTATTTTCTTTTTAAAAAATTCATTTCTGCTCTTGGCTTTATTCCTTTTTTAGGTTTATTTTACTGTTCTTTTTTCTAACTTCTTAAATTGGATGCTTAGCTCGTTAATTTTCAAATTTTTCTCCTTTTCTAAAATATACATTTAAGGCCATGAATTCCCTTCTCAGCTGCCTCCCATAAGATTTGATATGTATCTTTTTTTAAATTCTAGTTTTTTAAAAAAGATTTTATTTATTTATTTGATAGAGAGCCAGAGAGAGAGCATGAGCAGAGGGGAAGGGAGGGGTGGGGGGAGGGTGTGGGAGGGGACGGGGAGAGGGAGAAGCAGTCTCCCCACTGAGCAGAGAGCTGGATGTGGGGTTTCATCCCAGAACTCTGGGATTGTGACCTGAGCCGAAGGCAGATGCTTAACCGACTGAGCCACCCAGGCACCCAATATGTGATATCTTAATTATTAGTTAGTATTAAACATTTTTTTCCAAATCTTCATTATGATTTCTTTTTGGGCCAGTAAATTATTTATAATAAGGTTTTACATTCCCAAACTCTGAGATTTAAAAAGTATCCTTTTGTTATATATTTCGAATTGGATTGCATTGTGTCAAAGAACATGAATTGGGTGCTAGTGATTCTTTAAAATAAACTTTATATTTTAGAGCAGTTTTAGGTTTATAGAATGGTTGAGCTGAAAGTACAGCAGCTTCCATAAACTCACGCTCTTTCTCCCTACAAAGTTTCCCCTATTAATATTTTTTAAAGATTTCATTTATTTATTTATTTAGAGAGAATGTGTGAGCAGGGGGAAGGGCAGAGGGAGAGGGAGAGAAAGAATCTCCTGCAGACTCCCTGCCGATTGTGGAGCCCAGCGTGGGGCTCGATCTCACAACCCTGAGATCACAACTGGCACTGAAATCAAGAGTCTGTTGCTCAACTGACTGAGCCACCCAGGCGCCCCTCCACTATTATTAACATCTTGTAGTACATTTGTTACCTTCAATGAGCCAATATTGATATACTCTTATTAACCAAAGTCCATAGTTTACATTAGGGTTCACTCTTCATGTTGTTCAGTTCCATGTATTTTGATAAATGCCTAATGCCACATATGCCCCATGACAATTTCCTCCAGAAGAGTTGCACTGCCCTCTGTGCTCCATCTCTTCATCCCTCCTCCCCTCCCGCTGCACCCCTGGCAAGTACTGATCTTTTTACAGTTTTTTACAGTCTCACATTTTCCCGAATGTCATATAGGTGGACTCAAACAGTACGTAGCCTTTTCCCACTAGTTTTTTCATGTAGCAATATGCATTTAAAGTTCCTCCCTGTCTTTTTGTGGCTCAAAGGTTCATTTCTTTTTGGCACTGAATACTATGCCATTGTCTGGATGCACCACAGTGTGTTTATCTGTTTACCTACTGAAGGACATCTCAGTTACTTCCCACTTGGGGCAATTATGAATCAAGCTGCTGTAAATCTGTGTGAGTTTCTGTGTGGGCATAAGTTTTTAACTCAGATCTGTAAATACTTAGAAGCACAATTGCTGGATTGTAGGGTAAGCCTCTATTTAATCTCAAAAGAAACCACCAAACTGTTTTCCAAAGTGGCTACATCATTTTGCATTCCCACCAGCAATGAATGAGAGTTCCTGTTGCTCCACATCCTCACTAGCATTTGGTGTTGTGAGTATTGTGGATTTTAGCCAATCCAATAGTTGTGTAGTGGTATCTCATTGTTTTAATTTGTAATTTCCTAATGACTTATTATGTTGATCATCTTTTCATATGCTTATTTTCCACTGGATATCTTTTTTGGTGAGGTGTTTGTTCAGATTTTTGTCCATTTAAAAAATTGGCTTGTTTGTTTTCTTATTCTATGAGTTTCAAGGGCTCATTGTACATTATCGATCCGTGTCCTTTACCAGATATGTGTTTTGCAAATATTTCCTCCTCTTCTGTGACTTGCCCTTTCATTCTCCTAATAGTATCTCTTGCAGAGCACAAGTTTTTCATTTTAATGAAGCCCAACTTACTAATTCTTTCTTTCATGGATCATACATTGGGTGTTGTATTGCTGTACTAAAAACTCATTGCCAGGGAGCTTGGGTGGCTCAGTGGGTTGAGTGTCTGACTCTTGGTTTCAGCTCAGGTCATGATCTGGTGGTTGTGGGATCTTGCTCCTTGCTCAGTGGGGAGTCTGCTTCACATCCTCTCTCCCTCTCCCTCCTGCTCTCTCTCTCTCTCTCTCTCTCTCTCTCAAATAAATAAATAAATAAATAAATAAAATCTTAAAAACAAAAACAAAACAAAAAAACACCTCATTGCCAAACCCAAGGCCACCCAAATTTTCTCCTACATTATACACTTATCTAATTTGGAATGTTTGCCTTTTCATCCTTCTTCACAGTATAATCCTCTTCTGCTTTTGACTAGTTCTAGTTGTTCCTGGATTAGTAGTCCCATTTCTGAATCCCTCATTTCTCAGGTACCTGTTTTCTTCCCCAAGTCAATAAAGACTCACTATTTTTTCAGTTTTCCAGTATCTCTGGTCTCAAAGCTGTGTTCTTTCACTTTTGCACAGGCATCACCCCATTCTTTAATCCTCAAAACATTGTCACCAAGGTCAAAAAAAGAAGAAAGGAAGGAAAGCAAATGATCAGAAGGTAGCATTTGCTTGTTTACAGAACCAACCTTGGGAGATAAAAGAGCAAACACTTCCCAAACTTTGTAATTCCAGCCTGTTGGATCTAAATTTATATGCAGTGCTCACTTATTAATTAACAGCCTTCTTTATTGATTTTCATTGCAACTTTAGCAAGAAAACTCCTATAAGGAAGGGTTTCAGTTACATAATTTCCACTGACAATCTCTCTCATCAGAAAGGAAAAACAGGGGCGCCTGGGTGGCTCAATTGGTTAAGTGACTGCCTTCGGCTCAGGTCATGATCCCAGGGTCCTGGGATCGAGGCCCGCATCGGGCTCCCTGCTCGTCGGGAAGCCCGCTTCTCCCTCTCTCACTCCCCCTGCTTGTGTTCCCTCTCTCGCTGTGTCTCTTTCTCTGTCAATTAAATAAATAAATAAAATCTTTAAAAAAAAAAAAAAAGAAAAACAAACTCATTTCTTATTTTTTAAAAAGATTTTATTTATTTTTAAAGATGTTATTTATTTATTTGAAAGAGAGCACTAGAGAGAGATTGTGAGCAAACATGAGATGGGGGTGCAGAGAGGGGGAGAAGCAGGGCCCCCTCGATGAGGGAGCCTGATGCAGGGCTCAATTCTAGGCTCCTGGGATCATGACCTGAGCCGAACGCAGATGCTTAACTGACTGAGCCACCCAGGCACCCCCCAGGATGTCTGTCTTACATGTTTCATTTAAACAAACTGAGACAAAGGGTTTATTTTAGTTTCCCAAGGATGTTGTGACAAATTTCCATGAACTGGGTGAATTTAAACAATCAAAATTTGTTTTCTCACAGTTCTGGAAGCCAGAAGTCTGAAATCAAGATGTTAGCAGGGTCATGCTCCCTCTGAAGATGCTGGGGGAAGAGGAATCCTTCCTGGCCTCTTCCTGGCTTTGAGCGGTTGCCAGCAATCCCTGTCATTCCTTGGCTTACAGCCACATCAGTGGCTTCTGCCTCTGTCCTCACATGACCATCCTCCCTCGGTGTGTCTCCAACACTCCTCCTTGTAAGGACACCTGTCATTGGATTTAGGGCCCACCCTATTCCAGCATAACCTCATCTTGCTAATTACATCTGCAAAGACCTTTTTCCACGTAAAGTCATGGTCACAGGTATCAGGGATTAGGATGTCAACATATCATTTTGGGGAACACAATTTAATCCACACTGTAGGAGTTCATGCTGTAGGCCTAGGCCATAAACATCAAATTTGGAGGAGATACGCTACAGAGAAAGACACATAGGACAAAAAAGTGCCTCAGGAGAACACCTGGGTAGGTAGTGGGGTGGTTACAACTTAGAAGAAGGGCTACTTCAGACTGAGAAGGTGCCTATTCTAAACCTTCTATGAGAAACAGGGTCTAAATATGTTTGACCTTAGTCCTGGAAAGAATAATGAGGAAAACAAAGAATCCGGATCTTCAATATTAACTAAGGGAATTATCAAAGTGAGTAAAAGTTAAATGCAAACCAATCACAGCTCCACATGGGCAGGACCCGAGAGACTAGTTCTCACAACTGGGCCACCAGCCAAGTTATAAAGAGGCAGCATAATCACGACACCTTAATTTTTTGTTTCATTTTGTTCCTTGTTTTTGTTTTGCTTCATGACTGGTTGTTCAAGTGTCTGGTAAATATGTCTCATCTCTATTACAGATTGGCATTTCCCTCAACCATTTGCTCAAGTCTCAAGAAGCATTGGCTGTGTTAATCATGCCACTCAA